GGTAGTGGCGCGTGGCCAGGACGCCGAAGCCACGGCCAGAGCGCCTGGCCAGGACGCCGCCACCATGGCGGCGGCGTCCTGACCAGGCGCCCCGGCCGTGGCTCCGGCGTCCTGACCAGGCGCCCAGGCCGTGGCTCCGGCGTCCTGGGCAGGCGCCACTAGGGGAATATATATATATTTTTTTTGATTTTTTTTTTGATTTTTTAATTTAATCCCCCTTTTTTTTTTTTTTTTTTTTGTTTTGTTTTTGTTTTTTTTTTTATTTGTTTGTTTTTATTTTTGTTTGTTTTTCTTTTTTTTTATTTTTTTTATTTTTTAATTTAATCCCCTTTTTTTTTTTTTTTGTTTTATTTTGTTTTATTTTGTTTTGTATTTGTTTATTTTTTTTTATTATGGTTTTTTTTGTTTGTTTATTTATGTTTGATAAATTTGAAATGAAATGTGTGTTATTATTTTGTTTTTTAAATGTATTATGCGTTAAATATAAAAATGATATTTAGAAATTTAAAATTTAGAAATTGCGTTTGTGATAATTTTGTGTTAAGTGTATTAATTTAATCTTAATGTAATTATATTTATACGTTATATGTTATTGTTACAGGATTATGGTGGAGACGGAAATGATTACAGTGGGATTTTTGTACATGATGGCCTGTTCGAAGATGCTCAACAAGCGATTGATTGGGCAAAACAGGTTGCAATTAGATCAGGCTTTTGTTTAGTAGTAGCAACTCATAAATCTCAACGGGATGGTAGAATGGATCGCATTTTGAGATGCGACCGTTATCGCAAAAGAGAAGAACGAGATTTCAGTAAAGCGATTCGGTTTGACTCAAAGCGGAAAGGTTGTGGGTGTCAGTTCTGCCCTGGTGTTCGCGCGAGACCGTCACCAGACCGGTAAGGGACGTTGCTATTGGATTCGTAGAGCAAGCGTGGAGGGTTGGGATGCTTTGTACCATGCTCGCGTGCAACAGTGGAACAATTTAATTGCCATGTAGTTTTTGTTGATGTACACCTACCTTTTACTATGAGGCCTTGTATTGTCAATACTATGTCATTTCTATGTGTTCATTTTTAAAAGATAATGTTTCATTTTAAAAACTAACAACAATAATTTCACAATATTACAAACTAAAAAGATAATATTGAATTTTAAAAACTAAGAACAATAATTTCAAATATTACAAACTAAAAAGATAATGTCTAATTTCAAATATTAGTAATCCCTCTGTGACGCCCACTGCCACTGCTCAAGAGTCCGTTCCAGATCGTCAATAACAGCTCTGCCTGATGCACTCGTCATGCAGTCCCTTTCCTCAAAAAGTCGGTGTCCCAACTGCATAATCTTGCCCATCCACTACACAAAATAAAAAACATGAAACGACGTATTATACATATATATATTAAAATAAGAGAACAACAAATAAAAGATGAGATGTACCGCATAAGAGGCAGTGGCAGGTGGCACATCGTCATCATCTGCGTCGTCGATGTCTTTGATCAACCTCGGGTGCGAGTGCCGGATGTACCATTCCATGTAGTGCTGGTCACACATGGCAGTCACCCCACTTGGCGGCCGCTGCAGCTCCGCCGTCCATAGGCGGGCAACCATCGGAAACTGCTCCCACATGGATATCATGTTTGCCGGCCATTGGACGACGTACTCCTTCGACGACGCAGATCGTACCGCCTTACTGGGCCATGCCGGTGGAGGTGGGACAACTTGGACAAATCCAAGCTGGCGAAGACAGCGCTGCGGCATGTACGCCTCTACGATCTCGCGATACTGAATCAGTCCGGTGTAGAGGGTCCTGGGTACCCTATTACTAGGGTTCTGGCCGAAAGGCATCCAGTTCACCTGCAAGACGGCTGCGATCTTAACGCCGCCGTGATCCCACACACCAAGTGCCGATGTGTACAGCGCAGCCCTATCCACCGCCAACAGCTCCGCTAGTAAATCTGCCTGATCCGCATCAGTGACGACAGATGCTCGGTTTCCCTCCACGGGAATCCCAAGGATGGCCTCGACGTCATGCAACATGATCGTCATCTCACCGAACGGAAGGTGGAACGAGTTCGTATCCGGCTGCCATCGCTCAACGAAAGCCGTGATCAGCGTCCAGTCAATCATGTCGTGCATGGTGGCAGGAAGGTGACTCACTCTAGTGCCCCTCAATCGCCCGACCATCTCGCTCTCCTCCGGCCAAGCATCAGCCCAGCTACACAAAAACCTACAAGTCTTTTCCCGGGTTTGGCATTTCAAAATGCCTGTATCCAAAGCCCTCTCCTGGTCCTCCCAAATACGGGTAGCGATGTGTCCTAAAAAGCTAGGAATCACACTCCCGTCTATAGGTCCCCCGGCCACCTCACCCCTCACCATCCAAGAATCATTAACGGCCCTCGACCGTTTTCTGCTACCCGCAGACACAGTGGACGCAGATGATGTGCCAGATCTACTAACAAACCTACCATCTCGACCCTTACGCACATCTACCCTATGCGTCTCATACGTATCATCAAGCCTCTGACTGAATGGACCGTAATCATCATATGGTCCACTCTGATCGTCGACATCCTCATCTGCATCATCCTCGTCCTCGACCTCCTCCTCCTCGACCTCCTCCTCCTCCTCCTCATCATCATCTTGATCGTCCGCAGAACAGTGCACCCGTTCTCTGCGGGCCGAGGCCGAAATACCACGGGATCTAACGTGTCTGGGCCCCGAGCTCTCCATTGAGTAGATCGTACTCCTCACGACGTCAATACTCTTCCCCGCACCAGGTCCAAATTGCGATGCCTAACTCCAAGTAAATAACGAAACATAATAACGAAAACAAATTAAAAAAAGTCGAAAATAAACACAAAAGCAAATAAACAAGTCACGGAAATAAAATTATAAACATAAAAAATATAAATATATACAAGACAATATACATATAAACATAAGAAATATAAACATAAACATATACCAAAAACAAAAAATATAAACTACAAACAAAAAAAAAAACAAACATAAACAAAAACAAAAACAAAAAATATTACCAAAAACAAAAAATATAAATACAAAAAAGGAAGGACGAAAATAAACACAAAAGCAAATAAACAAGTAACGGAAATAAAATTATAAACATAAAAAATAAAAATATAAACAACACAATATAAATAAAAACATAAAAAATATAAATATAAACATAAAAAAATATAAATATGAACAAAACAATATACCAAAAACAAAATATATAACCAAAAACAAAAAATATAAACAACAAACTAAAAAATGAAAAACATAAACAAAAACAAAAAATCAAAAATGCAAAGAAAAAACCAAAAACAAAAAACTCACAAAACTTAAAAAATTTAAAATTGCAAAAACTTAAAAAAAGAAGAACATCAAAATTTTAAAGAAAATTTATAAAAAAAAAAGGGAACTTATAATTTTTTTACATACAAAAATATAATTCAAAAAAAAAAAAATACATAGGAACATAAAATTAAAAATTAAAACCAGAAACAATCTTTTTTTTTAAAAAAAAATAGAACATAAAATTAAAACAAATAAAAAAACAAAATTTAAAAAAAAAAAGATAAAAAAAAAAGGGAACATACAATTTAAAAAAAAGAAAAACAAATTTTAAAAAAAAAAAAATAAATTCGAAAATAAAATTTAAAATTAAAAAAAAACAAAAAAAAAATTTAAAAAAAAATAAGAGAAGGAGGCGCCTAGGCAAGACGCCCGTACGGTGGTGGCGGCGCCTAGCCCAGACGCCACTTCCACGGCTGTGGCGCTTAGCCTATGCGCCGCCGCCGTGGTAGTAGCGTCTGGGCTAGGCGCCGTCACCACCATATGGGCGTCTTGCCTAGGCGCTTCCTCCGTGGTGGTGGCGTCTCGCCTTGGCGCCCCACCGTCGCCGGAGGTTTTTTTTTTTAAAAAAAAATTACAAAAATTTAAAAAATTACCTTCTGGCCGGCAAACCGCCTTCCGCCCACCGCCGGTGCCGCCACTTCCTTGCCGGGCCGCCTCGACATAGCTCTGGAAATAATTTAGAGAGAGAAAGTGGAAGTAGAGAGTAGAGAGAGAAATTGTGTTTTTTAGTTTGAGGGCAAAAGTGTCATTTCACTCTTATTTTGTGGGCTTTATGTAGGAATTTGCGGGCGATGTTTAACAGTTCACTTTTTAAAGCCCATCTCAAAAGAAATATTTTGAAGCGGCAAAAACTAGCATCAAAAAATATTTTCTTTTTTTATGGACAAAATTTCTCAAAACATATTTTTGTTGTGTTAGAAACGTGCCAGAAGCCCAGAATCATTAGGTCACAAATGACATAATCCCCACATTAATGCTATTTCCTTTTCTATATACAGAACTTCTGAGTAGGCACCCCACAGTAATTTTTTTTTGGTAAAACCCCCACATAATAATATTTGAATACAAACACAATATTATTAAGTCAATTTTTATTAAAGTGCTTCATTATAACTAGATATGGATGTAATAAAAGTTTAATCAATAATATTTTAATTATTATTAAGTGTAAGAGTATAACAATCGAATATTAAAAAATTTCATTAAGATAATTTCAACAAATACCACGAGATTATATTATATGTTATGTGTTGTTTAATACAATAACATTTGTCAAACTAAGTTTAGGACTTTAGTAATGAATTGTGCAAAGAGTTGAATGGCACACTAAAAAAATATACTACGGGCCTGTTTCAATTTAATGAAAACAAGTCAACTAAACTGAACTAAATTGAATAGAGCTGAAATTAATTGTTTATGAGAGAAGGAAAAATTAAGAACTAAACTATACTAAACTGAATTTATTAGAGTTGAGTTGAACTAAATTGAATAGAGTCGAAATATACAGTATACACGTAAAACAAAGAACTTCAATAAAAATAGAGGAAGAGATATGTGATACCTGTACCTCTTAAGATCTCTTATAAAGTAATAATAACAATTATAATAATTACAATATTATTATTTTGTCAGATATAATTACAATAATAATAGTCTACTATACACTGCACACAAAAAAATAAAAAGAATGTGGAGCAGTGAGTTGAGTAGGTGTTGTATCACTGCCACCAATCATATAAATACTAACCAATCCACATCACATCTGCAACTCAAACCACCAACGAATCCATCACTCTGCCACCCTTACTGCAACCGCCATCGGAACCGCCGTCGCAGCAGCATTACCATATCCATGGCCATGACAGAATCAAGAAATGATAACAGTAATACGTTCACAGGAAATATAAAGTCAAGGGAAGAGCTTAACAAAGGTATTGCAGACTTGTATGATGAATCTTCTGCTATGTGGGAAGATATCTGGGGTGACCATATGCACCATGGTTATTATGACCCTTCTCAACCCGCCTCGCTTTCGCAACACCGCGCTGCTCAGATCCGAATGATTGAGGAGGCTCTCCGCTTCGCCGGTGTTACAGGTCCATTATATCATATTATACTATCAAATTATCAATATATGTTTCATTTGATTTTTACCTTCTTGTTTCATTTAATTCCGAGTTTTTAGGTTGATTTTTTTGATAAGTGGTGCTACATGTCCATTTTATTTTATTGCAATTAGTATTTTTTTTGGTGTCTCGGTTCACCCTTTAGGGTAATTTGGGATTAACTTTAGGTGATTAGTTTCCAGCCCCTTTTAATTGTTGATGCGGGGGATTGAACATACGGTCTTCACTGCCAAGTTTAGTTTCAATCACCACTGTATCAACAACCAATTGGTTTGCTGTAATTAATATACTTGCATATTATCATTTCCATCAATGTTTGATTTTGATGCGGAAAGAGTTCTAAACAGGATAAGTGACGTAGAAAGGATTTAATCTGGAGTTATTAGGTTGAAATTTTCTTGTATTGGTATTTGCTGATTTACTCTTACTGTAGTTTGGGTTCTGTTTTGTGATAGGGCCATTTTCTTCACATTGTCGCCTGCAGTTTGCAGATGTACTGCTCAAATTACAGTACTATTAAATTTGAATATCTGATTGAATTGATATTTTGATATTTTCTGTTTGTTTACTTTTAAATGACAAATACCGTGACTCTTTTGTGGTATTTAGTGGTCACGTACTTCAACTCTATCCCCAAGGATTTCCGAATATGCTTTTTTTTTTTTTTTTTTTTTTTAATTGGAGCAAATTCTTTTACCAATTTTAGAAATGGTATTGAACGGTAAAGAAAAATTAATGAACAAATGTAAATACTCAGAATTGGAGGAGGCTTTACCAATTATAAACAAAAAAGATGGGATTTTTTATACGAGATTGATGTAAGGTCATTAGTATTACCACTTATCAAACAAGCCGTTACAGTTACTAAAGAAGATACAATCATAAGAATTGTATAGAGACCAAACCAAACCAAACCATTACACGAATGTGTTGTGGGATATAACAAAAAAGAGGGAGGGGTTCATGCCTTTTAGACTCGTGCTAAGAGAAGTGTACAATGTGCTTAAACTTGTAACAATTATGAATTATTATGAAGTGTGTTTGGCAAAATTAGTTGTTGTACTAACTGTAGTTGTATGTGCGAGTAGATATTAGATTAACGCTAGCCTAATATATTTGGGGAAAATACACTCACTCCCTCTTATATACTCCATGGCTTTATGAGAGGATCCTGTTTAGAGTTGTAATTTATTTTTTTTCTCTTTTTTCTGGTTAACTAAATTCTTAAACTTCCAGAAATAACTTTGGTCTGCAGATGATCCAAGCAAACAACCGAAAGCTATAGTTGATGTTGGGTGTGGGATTGGAGGCAGCTCACGATACCTAGCCAAGAAGTTCGGGGCTACAACTCAAGGAATAACCTTGAGTCCAAAACAAGCTGAAAGAGCTCAAGCTCTTGCTGTTTCTGAGGGTTTAGCTGATAAGGTGAGTTATGAGAAATGTGGCATACACATGTAGAATGCTGTATTTGTCTTTTGATTGACCTACACATTCGTGTAATGGTTTGGTTAGGTTCTCTTCAGATCAACTTACAAACAATTCAGCAAATTCAGTTTTCATCAGCTTTGGCTTAGTAATGCATATAAAATAAACACTAGTGAGTTAGCAATAATGAAAGGATAAAGATTAATTCTCGTGAATTTAAAATAACAGGCATCCTTTCAAGTAGCAGATGCTTTGGAGCAGCCATTTGAAGATGGAAAGTTTGATTTGGTTTGGTCAATGGAGAGCGGTGAACATATGCCTGACAAAAAGAAGGTTTGGTTTCTCTATGCTTATTAGACGTGAATTAATTTTGGCACACCCTTAATTGATATTGGCACACCTTTATGGGAAAAGAGCATAAAAAAACTATGCTCTCACATTGGGTGTGCCAAAATCAACTAATGGTGTGCCAAAATCATTTCCTTCACCTATACTGTCTTACTGGTCTGCATATATAACTTGGTTAAGTTCGTGTTTCCTGTTTCTAGAAGACAGTGCTTTAGTGAATACGCTCTCTTAAACATTTTTTTTTTTATTATTCAGTTTGTCACTGAATTGGCTCGAGTTGCTGCCCCCGGTGCTACAATCATAATCGTGACATGGTGTCATAGGGACCTCTCTGCCTCTGAGGAGGCCTTGAAGCCTGATGAAACTGAACTCTTACGGAAAATATGTGATGCTTACTATCTTCCTGCCTGGTGCTCTGCAGCTGATTATGTAGAGTTGCTGCAATCTCTGTCTCTCCAGGTGCACACCTCATTTTTTTCGATATTATCCGTTGTGTGAATCACACTGCTACTGCTATATAAATTGGCAAAGTACATCCTAAACCTGCCCACCCAGGAGGCCTGGAGCGTGGTGTTCATCAAATGCTCCTTTCAAGTTTGGACTGAAACTGAACATATTATATACTTTTGTATGGATTAAAATATGTCAGTCTAGTCAATTAAAAGCTCATGTTCATTCCTGATAGATTACATATGAAGTGTTTATTTGAAGTATCTAGCACATAATGTTCCCAAGGCACGTTATACTGATTGGTACTAGATTGATCTCACAAGTTAATGATACTAAGTTCTGAGTTTGTATTGCAGGACATTAAGGCTGAAGATTGGTCACAGTATGTTGCGCCGTTTTGGCCAGCAGTTATACGATCTGCATTGACATGGAAGGGCATAACTTCGCTATTGCGCAGTGGTATGCTTAGATTAAGAATACTAATGACTCAAAGTTGATACATCTACATCTGCTCTTTCATGAGGTTAATGTTCAGTCTCATTTTGGCTTAAATTATCTGTACAGGATGGAAAACGATAAAAGGGGCATTAGCAATGCCATTGATGGTAGAAGGATACAAGAAGGATCTTATCAAATTTGCGATTATTACATGTCGAAAGCCAGAGTAATTTTATCTGCTAGTTACAGAAGATTGCTTCTTTGATCTATGAAAGCTCAATCCTTTCAGCAATCACCTACAAAAATAGTATCTAAATTTATTCTTCGATTATTTGGGTATTTCTTTGTCTAGGACTCTTGGGATGTTCCATTCCCAAAACAGTTGAAGTAGAACATAGAGAAGGATTGTTATTTTCACTCTTTATCCTCCAAATAAAAGTATGTGAAATTCAATTTCATATTGATGAATGATACCGTATTATTCTCTTGGTTTCTAAAAGTTCGACTCACTGTAGGTTACTAGGAAAATTAGGAAACAGAGTGAGTAGGTGTGCGTAAAAGAGGTTATATGGAAAGAGGTAAAAGGTTAAAAAGGTAAAAGAATAAGATGGAATACAATGCAAGCAGAATCTAAGCCATGCTCAAATATTTCCCAGACAAGCTCAAGACCATGATAGGTCCAACTGATTCAGCTCAATTTATACTAATTGGTGCTTGAGTTTTAACTTTGGATAATAGACATAATGCTGTTGTACATAAAAACTTAAAATGTAGAAAGCACAAAAAATGGAACACAGTTTTTACAGTTATTCGGACCACAGAGTAACTAATAACACAGATATAACCTAAAGGCAAAAAAAAGTTAAATTTTCGTATCGATCTCATATGCCTCATCCATGTTCTCCCTCAATTTGGAGGTTCAATAAATTTCAGCAGATCATGAAGAATTTCACATGCAAGATATCTTGCTCATTTAATTTAAGAATCTAAAAGCTGGAAGGAAAGGGGTTTCCCCATTCCCAACCCTCCCTTCAACTCAACCATTCAATTCCTAGGGACTGATTTTATACATGGGTATGTCAGAACACAAGGTAACTCAAAACCAATTAATTAAACATCTAGGCTGTTGTTACACTAGTCCCTATCCTGTAGTGACTCAGCTAGACGGAAACTCAGAATTCCAAACGATGCTCAAGTAACAGCCTGCATAACAGAATTTGGAGCTAATGCTTGTAATCCAAGAGAGCTTATGCTAAAGACAGGGTATATATATTTCAGCTCCCAGAATCACCAGAACCAACAAGCTTATATATTATCTAGAATTTAGATCAAACTCCCCACTTTCACGCCACTCTTCTTGCATTCCTGTGTCTCCATTTTCTGCCTCTTCATCGTTCAAAAAATCATCAGAAGGTTCTCTCTCCCCCCTCTGTGCATTATTGCCCCACCCGTTGATCATCTCATCAGGGATAACCCCTTGCTCTTGATCATTTAGTTCATGATTCATAGATGCATCATTTCCTTGTGATCCAAGAGCATTAACTCTGATTGGAGCTCGAGCCATCAATTCAGCATGTGCCTGTGATTCAGCTCGAGCTTGCTCAGCTTGCATGGCTGCCATCCGCATCTTAGCTTCCTGAACCTCCCGACCAGCTCTTGACTCCATTTCTGCTCGTACTTCCATAAAAGCGCGTTTCTCTTCTTGTAACAGAGCCTGCTCAATCATCAATCTCTCCTCAGAGCGAAATTCCCCCAAGGCCCGCTTTCGAGTTATAATATTAAAGGCCAGTGCCTGTTTCTCAAAAGTTGATGTGAACTCAGCTACTTTAGCAGCAATATTGTGGTCCCACTGTTGGGAGCGCGAGAGTATTTGCCCAGTAGTATCAGAATCAAGAATCCTATCATCTTCTTCTGCTTCATAATCTGCCACAACATGGTATGGTAGCAGCCTGTATTATCAAAATTTGAGCAGAGCGTTTAGATAGTTGTAGGACTTCACACAGAACTTGAGCAAATTGAGAGAAAAGGATGCATGTGAAGTCAGTAAAAGACCACGTCAAAATAGAGCATAGAGCTGAATTCCTTTTCATGTTATTATTTATCCGCACACCAATAAAAAGATGCAACATTCTCACATCCGAAACCATACATTATCAATAGAAATTAGATTGGCTTTAAAAAAAAATAATAAAAAAAAAAGAACAGAGATAACATTATCGTTTTGGAAATCATAACTAGCAATGTAATACTTCACCGCCTGAAATGACTGATAATTATGATGCTAAACTCATACCTTATATTTCTAGATTTATTTTACAGGTATATCGACTCCAAGCCAATAAAATTATTAAACTGTAATAAGTTAATAACCATGCTGGGTACAAGTAGTGGGCCTAGTGGCTAGTACCCTGGGTGTTGACTCATAACCTACGGTCAGTAGTGATAGTCACCAAGAGAAAATATTGTAGCGAATTTAATTCAGAAGCACAAAAGGTATTCCCCATGTCCAGTTTGGATCCCCCTCAAAATACATTTGATACCACTCCACAATTAATGAGCTCTAGGCAAATCATGTAACAGAGGACGTGATGCAATTCTGGAAGTCAATTTTCCAAGAGAAGATGAACTCTGACAGAATTATCAAGACATAATCACAGCTACATGTGTATCAACTTCAAGATAAGACAATAAGCTCACAAAAAAATTCCACCACTTCATTCCACTAATCTAATACCAGATACAAATATTAGCTGTGACAAAAGCCAATCAAAGCCAATATAATATCATATCAACAGACAAGAATCAATAGTGGATCTTGACCAGGTAGGGTTCTAACATTTCAGGGACATTAAATACATTCCACAATAAATATGCTATCTAAAATAAGAGGATATGGCGCTTTTGGTTTCACAAATCAGCTTTGACATCATACAGACACATGCTGGAATCATTCAAAAAAAAAATATAAGGGAACCAGTTTAAATCATCAGAAAATGTAATATTCTTGTGCCAAAACTACTTAAAGCTAGCAAAAAACCCTCCATATCCAAGCTTACTACTGGAACAATTGCCTATTTTCGCCCTCTCAAATTTGCATAAATACTGTAAACACTTGACAAATGCAAATTAAACACTGAAAAAACCATCAAATATCTGTTTCCAAGTGCAACAAGACAATTGAAGCTCCAATCTCATATAAGGCTAAGAATAGATGCCATCAAGACACTTAAGGATAAAAGAGAATTTTCTCTTCACAAAAGCTAAAATGACTAGCAAAATTAAAATGCCTTACTGAGCACTTTTCTTTAAATGCTGCCCATGCACCTACTGGAGAGGAGAAAAGGGAATAAAAAGGAGTACAGGAGACTCTATCTTCAAATGACATTAGCTAAGAAATCAAAATGTAAATCTCCTTCGAGAATAAACACAAAAGAACTTCCAAATCATCTAGTCTAAAAATCTCGTCACTCCCCTCACTACCGAACTACAAAAAAAAAAAAAGCTCAATCAGCAATTAGCTTCTATAACTTTGATACTCAAATCTTTTTTCAAGTAATTTTAATACAAAGCATATAAAAAGAAAAGTTCTGATGTCTTTGAGTACCATTTTAAGCTATCACCTCATCAAAAACATCCTTAAGACGCAATTGAGATCTAGTCTCAGAACTGACCCTTCAAGGGTAGATCACCAGTCACTACACCATATGCCATTCTAAAACACTAATATTGAAACCAACTAAAGACTTGAATGCAGCTTTCCAAGAATACTCCATAGAGTGAAGATCCCTTCTAAATGCAACCTAAAAACCGCAAGAATCATCCCTCCATAGAGTCGGCTCATAGAAACCTCTAAACAAGGGAAATATGCAAGAATAACTTACATGGTAGGAAACTCCCCTATAAGGCTATAAGCTTCAAAGAGTCAGAATCCCAAGGGACAAACTACCCCACCCATCTTACCATGAAACAAACGTTGAGCACACAAACTCATTGTTGCAATCCTACTAATTCCAAATTCCCTTTCTTCACATGGAAATAAAGCTTTCTCATTTCAAGAGGTAATTCCCACTGATCATCAACATGGTACTTCTTAAGCATCATTATCTCAACATTGTGCATTGAATTCCTCTCCTTGTTACTTCCATGGACACCAAAAACCTAAAATCAACCCTCACAGATTTCAATGAACCATTTTATCCTCTTACAAAAGAGTTCAGTGTGGTATAGAGGATATCTTTCTTCCAGGATTTAAGCTCAAGCTGGAGGTGGGAAGTTGTTCAACATATGCATCCTTAAGCTTATGAGAGCCATATTCTCTGTAGTAGCTAATTCCAAGGCGTGACAATCACCAGATCGAGACTTTCTCGTACCCAAAAATCAGACCTCATTTAACTCCCTATCAACTGCTCATCCTAGGCAAACCCAAACTACCTCATTTCAAAGAATACACTGTACCACCCCAAAAATGGAAGAAAAGTGCCTAGAAATGACTAGCCTGAAAGATCTATGCCTGAAAACTAACACAAACACCAATCTACTGACAAAGACCTCCAAACAAAAGCAAGGTTCCAGCCTTCCAGGCTTCCAGTACATTACATAACAAAGCCACAAATAAACTCTTCATATTAGGTTCCTTAAATTTCATCTTATACTTGTTGGAAATTTCCAAAGTCCCCCTCACTTGCACACAAAAACAAAATAAAATGAAAAATAAGTCCAAATGTGGAAGGCTACCTAAGTATCCTTGGTAATTACACTCTAGTCAAGTTTCTTCCTCAAGTATTTTACTAATTTCTATTTTCACTATCGTAATACTACATCTTCGGAATAAATCACACAACTTCCACCTTTTTACACGCATTCAAAATCAAATGTCATTAGGACCAAACTAGAATACTTAACAGATAAGTTCTTCACGATGTCAAATTGAGAATTGGGTAATTTAAGGACATAATTGTTTCCAATAACCAAATTCTTCAGCTTCTAGTTCTTAAATTAATCAACTTTATCAAGGAAACTAACAAACCCAATTTCTATTATCAATTTAATACTACATCTTGGAATGAATCACGCAACTTTCACCTTTATACACGCATTCAAACCCGATGTCATTAGGACCAAACTAGAATACTTATCAGAAAAGTTCTTCACATTGCCAAATTGAGAATAAGCCAAACTAAATGAAAGCATAATTGTTTACAATAACCAAATTCTTCAGCTTCCTGTTCCTAAATTAATCAACTTTATCAAGGAAGTTAACAAACAACTTAAAATTAACATAACAATACTCAAGAAAACATCAAAACTGAAAAATCAGTAAAATGTTGAGAAAGAGTGGAAAAACCTTTCACAAGCATCTTCAAGCGACGCGAAAGGCCGCTTGAAATCGGGATGACAAACGCGCCAAGCATCCTGATACGCCATCTGAAGCTCAGCTTGATTCCCAGCAAGAGGAGGAACAGATTGCTGCTGTTGCGACTGAGGTGAAACCCTATTCATCTTCTGCTGCAAATGCTGTTGCTGAGATTGGGGACTAGAGCTAGGGTTTCCCTGCTGATGAATAGGATGCATAGAATTCGAATTAGGGTTAGGGTTTTGATTTTGATTTTGCGATTGCGATTGATTTAGACCTAATGGACGATTCCCTCCAAGAGGCCTCAAATGCGCATCGATGTTCGACGGAAAACGTGCCATGGCAGCTTGTTGTTGATGCCGTTGTTGTTGTTGTTGCTGGTGTTGTTGCTGTTGTTGTTGTTGCTGGTGTTGTTGCTGTTGTTGTTGTTGTTGATGTTGAGGGTGTTGATTTTGTTGCTGGTGTTGTTGCTGCTGTTGTTGATGTTGCTGTTGCTGGAAATGCTGAAGAAGGTAGAGTTGTTGCTGCTGTTGTTGCTGTAACATTATTTGTTGTTGTTGGCGCTGCGCCAACGCTTTCGCTTCGTCCATGATTTTCTCTTTCTCTCTCTCTCTCTTACGACTGAGTCTGAAAGTATGGCGAGAAAATTGGGGGAAGTTGGGATCTAGCTACTACTACCATGGGAGTGAGAGGATTTGCAGGAAATTACCAAGTAAGACTTTTGTTGGAGAAGAAACGACTTTCTTTTCTTCTTTTTCCTTACTACTCTAGTAAATCCAACAATTGAAATCCTCCTATTCAAAAATTGTTTATAGTCGGAGTCTAGTAGGAACACAAAATTTTATATGTAACTAGTCACACTACGTGGTCGAAGTTACTTAGATTGAGTAACGCTAACCCCTGATCGATCGAGTGACCCATAATTTGCTAATTAACCTATGATCGAATGAGTAATTCCTTACTAAGTAACCCCTCACCAAGTAACTCATGATCGACCGAGTAACCCCTGCATAAGTAATTCCGGTCACACGGTGTGACCAGCCACATATGAAATACGCTGGACTGAGAAATGGTTTTAAAATTGTTTTGTCACGGTTTGAGTGTTTTGATTGTGGATCATAAGATTAGCTTCCGTCTATTTGATAAACAAGGATGCAAGTCGGGTATGGAAAGGTGTCGAGCTTGTGAGAATGTAACGATAAGAGCGAATGCTGAGTTCAAGATTGGGTGATCTTACTAGTTGATTATTAGAGTGGCATGATTAGGGTGGCAAAAAGGTTTGATCGGGGATGGTGAGAGTTGTGATGGTCGAGAAAGTTAAGGTGGGCACAACACAAGCAGGTAATGAGCCTTCAGAGCTCGGCTCGGTCAAAGTTCGATTTGTGGTGACGCGACTCGAGGGCTCATGCTCAAAAAGTTCGTGTATAAGCTTTACTACTGTTTTGCATATAAAAAAATATATATGTATATAAACATAAATGTATTTGTCATAGTTAGTATTTTCATTATCATAATAATAAATCATTACAAAATTAAAAATTTTAATGATGAAAAATAAAGAAGACAAGTAAACTAAGGATAATAATAAATCAATGTTGTTCATAAACAGTTCAAGTTCGGCTCGCTCATGCTTGGTCAAGCTCGGCTTAGTGAAAGATTGACAAAGAAAGTTTCGAGTTCCACAAACCAAGCTAACCATATTTTAGGCTCAGCTCGCCCAATAAGCACTCTTAACTTCCTAGGGTCCTATTTTGATTTACTAACTTAGCTGAACTGAACTGAACTGATTGGAGCTGAACTGCATATTATATGAGAGAAGGAAATTTGGAACTGAACCGAACTGATTGGAGCTGAAGTGAATTAACTGAACTAAAAATAAGCTAAAGAAAATAGGCCCTAAGTCTGACTATGATATTATTATTTTTTTAGATCAGTCGGGAATTTATGGTGCTTTAGAACACATGGTAACACAATATTTGTAAATTTTACAACACAAATATTTATGTAAGACAAACAACTTCGATTAGGATACGGGATATCATTAAAAAAAACAAAAAATAAATCTCTTTTAAATGTACAATATTACAATTTTAATTTGGGTATCCAAATTTGAAATAATTCTATTTACATTACTTGAAAGTTGAAATCAAATGGTAGGGCTAACAAATACGAGTAAACTACATTTTTTTAAAAAATAATTTAACAATTAGGGCCTATTTTGATTTACTGAACTGAGTTAAAATGAATTTAACTTATTGGAACTGAATTGAATTGAATATTTTATGAGAGAAGGAAATTAGGAACTGAACTCTACTTTACTTAACTTATTGAACTGAATTGAATTGAAAATAAGCTGAAGAGAACCAGCCCTTAGTTAGATTTTCATTATTGTTGTCTAAAATTGAAAACATGAACTCACTCGTTCATTGTGCGGAATGGTTGCAATATATGAAGTATCAAAATAGCAATATATCAAATAGCTTAATAGCATGAATCATCATTTTGTACCTCTATTTAACATTTGCTATAGAATATGCATCACAAAGAGTCGTGATAATATTATATCCAACTTTAGAAGTTTTCACTAATATTTTTTTCCCAATACTGTTAATGGCCAAAATTCAACCAACAAGCACAAAGGAGTTGACATCAATTTTCCAACCACTACTAAGCCTAGTAGTCTATAATCATACACAAAGTAGCTGATATCAATTTCATTTCAGAAGTTTGCCTTACTACGGAGTACATGCCAACAAGAAGTAAATGAATCGCGATGAACTGGTAAGGTTTGCCTTGCTACCCATCAAACAAGTTTGCTATGCTTTCCAAAATTTTCACACAAACAGAACAAACAATATTATGCTTCTAGCATGCATCAAATCTCCTCTATATCAGTATTAATTAATATAGAAAGCACAAGTCCTGCCAATTTTGAAGTCTCAAAAGTAAGAGCTTGGTGGTGAGGAGACGCAAAGCAATGCAGCATCTATGTCAAATTAACATGCATGTATTTCAATCAGAACGGCCAAAAAGTATCGAAGGAACCAATCTTCTACATTAGATTTTGAGCTCCCCGGATATCCAAACTGATGTAAAGCCGGGAGATGCTGGAATTCTACGGTCAACTGATGATGGACCACTGATAGCTAACATACTGAGAGCACTGTCAAGTTAGCCTCAGCGTGACCGTACAGTTAATGAAAAACGGATGCTTTCACCTGCTTGGCTCATTTGACAACAGTTAGATATGTTCAACATATTTTTAGACTTGTGGGGAGACATTTGTAATTACTTTGCCTTCACTCAAAATGATGCACATTGCATAAGAGAAAACAATAGAAGGAACACCACTAAAGCAAACCAGAAGATTTACTTCCAAAATTTGAATAAATGAAACAGATAATAGCCCAAGACAATGAATGAGCACGTTCAGGATGGGAAATTCTACAGCACAAGCTCACAAAGGAAGCATGTAAAGTGGAGCTTTCTTGCGAGCTCCATGGAATATAATGGAAGTGAATTGTGGGCAGTTGCAAGGTCATGAATCTCATGATATCCTTCCAATGTCGTTTCTTCCTTGTGATGGTGGAATATTGATTGGATGGTTTGTTCTGCGACCTACCAAACAAGGGCAAGGGCTATCAAAAAGAACGGTATTGTATCTATCTTCTTCCCCCCCAATGTTGACCTTCAAAAAAGGAAATAAACAGCAAAAGTGAAGGAACAGGCAAACAATTATTTCACATATGCGGGAAGACAAATTTAGAACTGCTTGAAATATCAGGATCAAGTTTGTGCATACCCCATGGCATGCTGTTATGTGGATATCCCGGATCATAGCTATAAGAATTGTGATGTGGCCTCATATTAATCCCCTCATTCCCATACGTAACAGATGATCTCCCATGATTCGTACGCTGAATAGGCGGCTGCCCCAAACGACTTAGGGAGGTCGGTGACAATTGTGACATATATTGTGGTGCCCTTAACATTGAACGACCATATCCAAGAGGCAGATTGTGAGCAGGTGGGCTGCTCATATCTGGTTTTGAAAAGGCTTGAACAGGACCACTGGGCCTGGATCAAATCACAAACATTAAAATAAATTCAGTAACCAAACCAGCATCCACTGGGCCCTGGATCCAAATTTCCCTACACTGAGCTCGACACTCATGCCCATGTTGAATAACCATGGCAACACCAATCCAATAGAAATCACAACTCCTATTACTTAATCTACCAAACACTGTATCAAACGATGCAAGCCCTTAACAACACAACAGATTTCAATTTATTGAACACCGAATTACTAATAGTATACAGGCAATTAAATCTTCTATAGGACATCTTAACTCTTACAGAATGCTTTGGATGCATTTTCTAAGGGCAATTCTCAGCACAGCTTAGATAATAAATTGACCACACACAAATGAATAACAGAAATCATATGGAAACAGGAAACCAATTCTATCATCTAAATGCATGCCTCAACTCCTACAAACGACAGATGAAACTGAATAAAATAACTCAGCTAGTACATTAATTACCTCCACATTGCATTAGTAACTGCATTTGAATCATGGCTGTATGTTCCAAAACCTAAAGTTTGTGGTGATGCCGTAGCTTGATCTATGTTCACCGCTTTACCAAACTCAGAAGTGATGCTGCTCACATCAGAACTATCCTCTTGCAGCAGTAATTCATCACTGAAAAAGAAAAACGGCAAAGCTTACAAAAATGCATAGGCTTTAAAAATTAGAAACACAATGACAGATGTTTTTCTATTTTAGTCTTCCACCTTGAATAACAGAAGTGAAAAAAGCACAAAACTTATTTCACATAACCTCTGTCCAAACAGAGGCATAACAATTTCACAGAAATTCAACAACCATTGGCATCTTCTATATCAAAGTAATCTTTTGAGAGAAAATCCTGCAAGAACATTTTTCTTGTTCAACATTTCAAATTTAAAAGCTGTGTGAATGTAGAGTAGCAGAGCTTGTTGACTGCTGGCATCAACTTGAGCATAATCTAATTACTCCAGCAATAGCGTAGACTGGGACAGATAATGAGCCAATGCCCAACTTTTCAAATAGAAGATATTTATCTTTTAGTGGGTTGGGTTTAAGCTGGTAAGCTCAAGTGAGGATTTGGCATCTTATTGTGAGTTCAACTTACAAAGTTCCAATAGAATGCATGAAGTAATAAAGCACGATTGACTAGTATCCATGCTGACTGATACAACTTGAAGTGATCAGCAACTGAAGTCTTATGTGTATGTTCCCTTTCATAGAGTGATATTTGAAGTAATAAAAAATAAGTAAATAAAGATAAATTCCTAAGAACACAAAAGTAAAGCCATAAGACCATGACAGAGTATTCTAAGAAAAAACAATTTGTTTATGAAAATGAAATAAACTACAAAAATGTTTGTGATTCAAAAATATCCAGTGAGTAAAACTGTATATCATCTAGAAACAACAAAAGGAGTCCAAGTTTTCATGCCCAAGGGAGGTACTATTTACATACCTATAGTTTGGATCCCAATCGCCAGGATCAGGCAATGCTGTTACATCAAGCTTTTCATCCACAGGTCTTTTAATTTGTGAAAATTGAAGGCTTGAACCATGCGAACCAGAAATTGGCATGTGGGAAAAAGAGTTATCAGTACTGATATTACTACTACCAGATGGCGGCTTCCAACTTGACATGTTAGAGTTTATAGGTATATGCAGTGGACCACCAGGTACCTGTGACTGTGTGTTGCCCTCACCTTGACTGAAGCAAAGACCTCCACTCAAGTGTCCTTGACAATGCGCAGAGGATGTACCTTCTTGAGACTGTATATTTCCGGAATGTCCCCAACTTTTTCTCCGGTTAAAATTGCTAACAGCAATACCTTTTCCGAGAGGAGACCCTTGACAATTTCCCCTTGCTGGAGATGCAGCACTATAATATCCAGGTGAGCCAGAATTCTGAGTGAAACTGCTTGGCGGAGTAAACTGTGAAGGACTAACTCCAAGCGGAAATGGTGCAAAATTTCCTGCAGATGGACTAACACCAAGTCCATGTGGGCCTTGTGGCCGGTGATAAATTTTCCACCTTGTATCAGGGCTATTTCCGACCATTGCCTTACTACCTTGAGTATGAACATTCATCGTAGATTGGCAACCGGGTGAAAAGTATGTAAATGTATTAAAATTATCCCCATAGCTCCCGTAGCTACTTCCAAGCATATTACCATCATTATAACTATTATGGCTTCCTAAGCTACCATAACTACTGCTTTGTGCATACGGTTGCATCTGAATGTGTGGAGAAGCATGCATTGATAAAGTACGACCAGAAACCTGCATAAATGATATCAAAAGTCAGACACAGAGATGTGACAACAGGATACTCCCTCCAAGCCCACACTTTGGAAAGTGAAGCATGGAGGCAGTGGGCCATAGCACATTTAGTACAATAGCCTAGGGAATGAAAAAGAAGCATCTAAAGAGCCTGCAAGCTTACATGTGGAGAGAGACCGGCTGCAAACCAGTGCCCTCCCCCAGGATGATGGTCCACCTTGAAATTTTGTGAAACTGGGCTAACCGGCTTCCCAATACGGAATCACAGAAAGAGAAAAAAAAAAGTTTTAGAAACTTTGACAAAGAAGAAGGGACAAACAAAGGATAGCAAGAAGAAAACAGAAGACTTTGAAAGATAGAATGACACTAACCAATGAACTAATTACAATGGCAAAGCATCCACATATGGAAAAAACAAGAAGCTTGCAACTAAAGAAATTGATATGTACTTGCAATTAGAAAAAAAATAAAAAGATAATATTTCAGAGACCATGTCTCAAAACAGACTTATTAGTTCAATGAATCCCAATATCAGCATAAATTCATATTGGTAAATCAGAAAACTTGCTGCTTGGAAATTATTCCTCTTTACAACATTTTTCCTCAGTCCCACTCTATTTGAAGGCTGAAGCTCCTTTGCAAATCAGCACTTTTAATCTAAACAAATAATCTTAATAAAAGACTACAACAAAAGCTTAAGGAAGACCATAAAGAAATATCACTAGAATGTGTTTCCTTTAAAAGTAGAGGAACCAGCCATATGTCTTATTGGTTCTTCACATGGTATTTTACAAGGGACAATTCAAGGATTATGAATTGATAAAGCCACATTGGTGTACCAGCAACCTTACTGAACAAGTGCATACATCTTTTTGATATTATAACTAATGCATTTGGCTTGATAGGGATGCCAAAGTCTCAGTAAATAAACACATTCCCTGAGCACAATCAGAATAATCAATTATGAAGGAATGACTCAGAGGTCATTGTTGTTCATAACTTTATTCCATACTCTCGTACATGTATTGCAATCTCCAAATTTATACAACTAAACATAGCCATGCTTACTAAATAGCCACCTAAATAGAAATTTACTTTCAGTTTCCAACATCCAATATAGAAAAAATAGCAACCATGTTCCATGTATAGTTCTTCCCAAAGATTCAAAGTTTTGAGGGCTTGGTATTCTCTGTTAAGTTCTTTCTTATACAAAGGATCATGATATCCGTTGTAGTGTTGCTCTAGAGTCTTAATTTCTTAATATATTGTAGTCAATGGGTATAATCATTTGTCACTCAACAAATAAACAAAGTGCAATTTCAGCATAGCCCATTCAATTCAACATAAAAGGATGTACCACCAGAAAGACAACAAGGACAGTAGTGAAAGAAAAGTTGCTAGTATAATTGAAATTATATTCCAAGTGTTCCTTTGGAAGAAGTAAAGTAGACCCAACACTTTGAAAAACAACTTATAACAAATGCAAACAGAATTCAAGAATTTTAAAAGCTTCAAATTTCCACGGTAAAATAATTCAAAAAGAATATTGGTGTGCAAAACTGCTCACCACACGAGGAGTCTCAGAAACAGGTATATAAGGGCTTGTGAATGGCTCTCCAGTCACAAAAGGATGTTTCAAAGCCTGCATTCAAATGCTAATCATCTAAATTCGTCATCCATATCATACTACATCAGATTACTAAGGATTAGAAACACAAAGTTGCTGATATGACAGAAAATTAATAAACCTGAAATGGAGACCATCGCTTTTCAGGATCAAACTCCACAAGCCCCCTTAGAAAATCAATAAGAGCTAACCGTATTTGCCTCTCTGCAAAATTCGAAGGTAATACATACCAAAATAAGCATGACTTGACAATATTATCATACAGGAAGCATATTAAAAGAATTCAAACATGGTACATACCTTTGATTATGTCTTCTTCGGGTAAATTTTTCTTGTAAGGATAGGCCGCAACAATTCCTTCAAGATTCATATAATTAAAATATTCTTTTCCAATCATAGGTTTTTTCTTCTCCCTCTGTCACAAATTCAAAGAATACTTGCATGAAGACAGGAAACAGTAAATCTGATAGTTATTTAAAAAAAGGACCAACCATAATATCATATAGCGCCATATTTTAAAACATTAAAAAATTTCACTACTTTGAGAAACTACGCTTTTCTCAAAGTAGTGACAAGTTTGATAATTATTATGAAAAGCTTTTATTTGGATTGGAATCTAACCCAATCTGCAATAGCTACTTGTGTTTTATAGAATAAGATACACTATCTCCAACTACTTGGATTTCCTCAAGGTGCTCCCCCAAGTGTTTGAACCCCACTATCTAGGGCTTGCAGATTTTAATTAAGCTAAAAAACAAGGGACAGAAATGGTCAATTTGTCAATGTATCCTATTTGCTTCTGACATATCTTCATTACTCCAGGGTTTCTGCTACAATTAGTTAACGTATCCTATATGGCCCCTCTATCCATGTCTCTAAAAGAAACACCTGTAGAAAGCATGAAAAGCTAAAAGAATCTAAAATTCGGTATATAGAAAGAAGAAAACTAGAAAACAATAGCTTTAAGAGGAAAAAAAGTGTTGCCGGTGTTTTAAGGTCCCTAGCCTATTAGCTTCAGGCCACAATCACCTTCTGTTTCAGGCATTTCTCTTTTACAAAGGTTGCAGTTGCACACCCTGGTCGGAATCATACTTGTCATTGCATAGCAAAAATCCAAAATAATAGGTAATGTAGTATTTAAAGAAGCAAAGCCTAAACAGGAAATACCAAGCCTTAATCAACCTTTTTTTCTTTAACAGGAAGTGCCATCAACCAATGATTAAATTCAAATTTTATTCTATTCATTAACAATCTCAGATTCTTAAGGGTACAAACACATACTGCTTCATATTCTTCCTCAGATAATGCTTGATAAGCACTTTTTCCTCCCATGGAAACATGTCCAGCATCTACATGATCGACACTTCCAACAAACTTAAAGAACTTGTTCGTGTTTTTTGCATCCTTTAGTAGATAATCAGGGGGTTGACCCCTACAAAAATTCAAATACAGATAACACTCAGTAAAGATCAAATATAAGGAGAATATCATAATGATCTTCTGTTTGGCCAATAAAAGATGTATCTAGCTAAGATAACATCAAGTGTATTTTTTAATTTAAGAAAAAGAAACATATTTGCACATATAGGGATTTAAAATTCAGTTCAAAGGTGTGGGGACATGATATTGATGAGCTTAAAAAATGTAACAAATAATAAAAAAAAATAAAAATTAAAAATAATAAATAAATAAAAAATTGCACTTTCAGTTGAAAAAAATGAGAACATTTAGCTAAAATTAAATGCAAATGAGTCCTTGCCTTCACTGGACCTACTACTAATAGTGGATTTAGAATCAAAAAGAGTAGAGATTGATTATGACTTGTAAGCAATGAAAATGAAAATTGAAGATGATTATATAATGAATATACAGTGTACCTTAAACAAATTTGAACTGTAATATTACTTATATTTATAAATGTACTTGAAATGGATCTGGGATTATAAGGAATTCAAAATGAAACATTTTCACTTTGAGTGGGGGGATTTTACATTTAATTTTGGGACTAAGGCTTTGTTGTTGTTGTTGTTGTTGTTGTTGTATAAGAATTGCCAGCATTGAGCCATTAAAAGCCTTTAAAGCATAGGATATAATAAAAGGCTTTCAGTGAACTAACAAAATATGAGATTATTTGTTACAACTTAAAAAACTGGACATCGATTTAGCATCAAAATAGTTATCCAAGAACTGCAGTCATGCACAAGAACCACACCTAGACTTAATTTATACGTACAAAAATGACTCATAAGAAAAAAGAGAAGCATACCCGAGTATACGAATCATCCTTCTTAGAAGATCAAATTCTGAAGCTCCAGGGAATAGAGGGAGGCCTAGAAACAACTCAGCAACAATGCATCCAAATGACCACATGTCAATGGCGGTAGTATATCTTAAAAACATAGTCAAGGTATGCAACTATGCATGTCATTCAATGCATCATTCATTCATTCATAATTTATTTGGACAAGGAACAGCCATATATCAAATCAAAACTGAAACAGTTCAGCTCTATCTATATGTGTTTGTACTCTGGTAGTCTGGTTGTGCAGCAAACACAAGCAGACAAGTAGCAAGATAACTGAAAATGATTCTGGTATGATCATCTTCCTTATTCAGGAAGTTGGGTGAGAATTCACAAATCATCAAATATTACTATACCTAAGGAAGAAAGACATAATAAGCAAGTAACAAAGGATACTGATAGCCAAGAAGAACTTCTGGAGACCTGTAGTAACGACTCTGCAAGAAATGTAAAAAACTAGAGTAAATATCATCATCATCAATAGAAGAAGTGAATTAGTGAATGGGAAGAGCCTTACCTGAATATAAGAGTAGACAGTCTTATCCTCCATGCAGGCAGATCCAAAGTCAATAATTTTAATTTCTGCTGGTTTCATACTGTCAATATCATAAGAGTGTCATACTTTGCTATAAAGAGGACCAGAAAACCACCTTTCCCATCAACATGTTCCCACTATCCCATGTGTTCACAGGAAGAAAACTCACCTTGTGCACAGAAGAATGTTCTCCGGTTTAAGATCACAATGGATAATACCAGCATCTTTCATCAGTCCCAACCCACGCAAAATCTATTAAATACAATATTTAGCAATCCAAAGGATATTAAAGGTGCTGTAGCAAGTACTATAGATATCAACAAGTTCTACCTGCTTTGAGAAGAGCTGTACTATGCTCAACGATAGCCCTCTAAAATTATTAAGTTTTATCAGCTCATATCTGCCACAAAAGTATCAATACAAGTCACATATAAAGTCTTAACAGCTATATAGCAAAGTCACGGGCAGATCAAACTTACAAATTTGTGTCTAGTAATTCAAAAGAAATACAAAGATGCCGCTGGAATACAAAGTAATCATGAATGCGAACAATATGATGCTTATCCTCAGGATCAAGCTTCTTATTTAACTGCAAAGGGGGCAGAAGGAAAAGTTATTCAGGTCCAGTGATAATTTCACGGCGGGAAATATTATCAGCTAAGGTACCGTAGTCAAGATTGAGACTTCAACCCAGGCCTGTTGATAGTAAGCTGGCTGATTTTTTATGATTTTGACTGCTACAAAACTGTTAGTATCAGGCACCCAACATTTGGCAACCTGTCCAAATGTCCCGTGTCCAAGAATATCTTTCACAATGTATCTGTTAAAATAAAATAAAAAAACTAAATTAACAGCACTTGTAAATTGCAGCATGATATTCTTGTCTATCATGACCCCTAGACAACAGAGATAAATAAGGAAAATAGACCACTTACATCAACAAAAGCATACCTTAAGAGATACCAGCACAAAACATGCACCTAATACTTATTTACCTCCCATCTAATGAACAAACAGGGGCTAAATAGCTAAATACAAGCCATAAGTAAATCAAAACACTAAAAAATCCAGATAACACGCGAAGTAGTTGAATAGAGTCAATGGACCGGTAATGCAAGCTACCTATCCTCAAAAGCTTTTTATTTTTGTTATTGGTTTGGCCTTTTCTACAATTATTGTCATCCTCCACAGTAATATTTATAGCAGCAAATTTTGCATGCCTGCGTCCTCCCATTGTATTTCGGTATTTACATTTCTATTTTTTATCAAAAATAAATAAATTATTCGTTTTCCTCTCTCTTCTCTTTCCTTGTCTTTTCACCTTTACCTCCTCCAAATGTTCTTCCATGTCTTTTGACTTTTCCCAAACTATTTCAACAATTGCACCTCCTAATTTCAATTCAACAATAGATATCAAACTCAAACTCATCCTCTTACGTTGTTTTCAAAATTTTGATTTTTCGTCTTTCATTTCTTTTACAATCAAGGAAAAAACTACGCATCACAAAGGATAAAAATTTAGTTTTGAGAATTGATGAGTGGCATAATATTTTATGTATATTCATATGCCATAGTGTGACCTGTGACTCCACAAAGCTTGCTAGAAATTATCATATTCGTTGTCTTTTATAGATAATCTAATACCACCACTTAAATTATTTGGAAAAGATAAGGTTTTAAAACGAATACTTTCCTAGACAGGAGAATCTTTAAAATGATTCATAAATTCTGGGAAAAAGCATTACCGTGGTATGCAATTTTTCAAATAATACACAATTGGTCTTGGAAAAGGAGATTCTCTTATAGAAGGATGAAAGGTGATGCATGTCAAAAGGAATTTCCTACACCACAGGAGGCGCTGTGGCCTGTGGGTCGTTGGACATGTGGACAGCCATTGCTTAGTGGGTGCTCATGGTTGCCACTTGCCAGGAACAATGCTTCTCCTAAAGAGCTTTAAATTGGATTTGTCTTCTATGAACAACCATTAGACACTAATATAATAATGGGCTATTTGGTGGGCCAAACGGAGTCCAAAATGGGCTTTCACATATATGAAAAGTATTTTGAGCCAATGAAGAAGATGGATGAGACGGATTCTCAAGATGAAGTACCAAAAATGCATTTTTTGTTCCCAGCACGGGCGTAGTGCATTTCTAGAGTGCTGCAAAAAGCAATAAGGTGTGCTAAACTGCTAATGGGGAAGGTTTCCGCAAAAAAGTTGTCTAGTTGTACATACTAGGGAAGGAAATTTGTACAAGCTCCTTGTAAGTAAAATCTTTTGGATGTGGGAACATTAGAAAGAGGATTTCTGTAGAATACTCTTTAAGGGGAGGATGGAATCTACAAAATTGGATGTTTCGAGAATTAGGAGCTTGGTATGCCTATGGAATATGAATAGACCATTGCATTCATTTGAACAAATCAACCAACACATTGTATTCTTTTTCAAAGCAATCAAATCCCTTGCACATCTATAAAACTAACTAATTGGTACAAGATCGATCACCCTCTTCACTGGCATCATAATTAAAAGGGCTATGTCCACATATCCAAAAGACATAAAACTCCACAATGCATTCTTGATTATAAGTCCTAACTCATTCTCATTCCATATTTGAACATATTATAAATCAATCATTATCAAATAAAAGTTCCAAAAGCAAGCCTTTGTCCAAATAATGATCTTTCCCCTAAAAAGGCTCATCTTCATCATCAAACTTAAACCATTCCTGGTTATAACCCCTAACTCTTTCTCAGTCTGCATTATAAATGCATCATTGTAGTGTCCAATAAATGAGAGGTTTCAGTCAGAAGTTATAAAAGCTAGCCATTGTCCAAAATTAATAGTCTTCTCCCTACAAAGACTCTTCACTCTCAAAATCTATTGGAAGGAGGACTTGCATAAGCCTTGTATTGGAAAGGGGGATCAGTGTAAGTAAGCACCTCACTAAAAGTCCCATCTATTGGGAACTGAGTGCACATAAGTCATAGAAGATTCACTTTTGAATCCGCTTTAAATGTATGAAAATCTGTACCAATTACCAATTTACCACCACTTTCAATTCTACACCCTCAATTTTAACAAAGCTACGACATTTAAATCAATGTCTGAATATTTCACATTGGATTGCAATTAAAACTTTTTGATAAATTACATCAACATTCTTAGTAAATTCTAACAAAGCTACGACATTTAAGCATTTTGGCACTACATTAATTCTTAGTAAATTCTCTATTGGGCCCGGGAGGATATTTTTGAGGGTGAGGAGTGAGAGTGGGGAGGGGGGTATATTAAAAATAAGTATAAGAAATCACACCTTCGTTGTGTATGAGAATTGACCAAGACGTAATTTACTGAAAGAATAAGATCCGAATTTGCATTATCATGGCCATCATTGAACACTCCATCAGATGGACTTGTTAAAAACCTCTTAAGGTTGAGTTCATCTGTATACTTGAAGTCGGGATTGCATTCTTGATAGGTTTCAACTATGTGCTTTGTAAGTTTTGCCACCAACTACAAACCAAAAAAAATAACACATACCATACACACACATTAGCATGCTACTCATTCAACCATCAATTTCAAAGGGCAATCAACTACTTACAATACCCACTCATCTAAAATATTGCTAAACAACATTACTCCGACTCTCTATTTCACCTCAAGTACCCGTGTCACATACTCGACAAATGTACACTACATTGGTATGACACTTCAACATTTCAATTTCAACCAAAATTAAGCAATTTCTTCATAAAATCATAGACTTGAACATTCCAATCATTAACATAATAACTAACATCATAAAAGAATGAATCAAGACATTAATTGAGAAACTTACAGGTCTTCTAACCACAACCCTCAAAGGTTTAGACTTGTTACTCGTTTCCTGGGAAAATATATAGGGACGAAACGCCAGCTGACGGGGGCAAAACCCCGAAGCAAACGATGGCGAAGACGACGGCAACTCATTCGAAAACTCGCCGCCATCTCTATGGTTGACTTCATCCATAGAAACCACTGATTAATCTTCTTCACAAATAGTCTAATTGCAGAATTCAATCATCCTCCTCTCTTTCTCTCTCCTCCACCAATCAATCAACAATTCCAATCAAAACCGCATACTAATTCACCCAGAAGACTGCAATCCCATCCTCATTCAAAAACCTCGAAAACTGATTCAATTTCTTCAAATTATTGAAATTAGAGCTAATGCCTCATCTTGTAACCATCCGATTGCAGATGAATTGATCAAAATTGAACCTTAATTAGGGTTCGGATCGATAAACGATTGAATCCGGGTGTAAATTGAGGATCCGAATAAGTGAAGTGTGAAACTTGTTGAAGATCAATTACAAGAAGAAGGGATAATTTGGTTTGATTTGATTGAGAAATTGATTTGATGAAAAATTGGGGGAAATTGGGTTGGAATTGATAGAGTCGACCAGTATTGGTGCCAAAATTGATTAAAAATTTGGGTGACTGGAGTTTTGATTATACGGTCATCGGCGGAGCATCTTCCGTATAATGAACCCGGTCCATTTTTATGACTTTTTCTTTATTGCATAATGTATTCTATTTTACGGGTACAAAGGGTAGAGTGGAATTTTGGAAAATTAAAAATTACTTGTATACTAGTACAAGTAATTATCTTAAGGTGGGTGAAAAATAAAATTCGTTGACATGAATTATCCATTTTGGTTAAAATTACAATTTATAATAAAATAATATTATTTTGTATATATATATAATACGGTAGGTTTTTTTAGAGTGAAAAATAATTATTGAGTTTTCATGCCGTTTTATTGGAGGACTTGCGTGAAATGGCTATTGCTAGAATGGTGCCAATGAAGAAGCATTTCTATTGCTTTAATCTTGTAGAGTAATTAATTAACAACTTTGGATTACATCATTACATGTATCTAGGTGCAAATGCAGATAGGTGCATTTAATGGTAAGTTTTGGGTACACCGAGATGCCATTAGAATTTTCATGGGCTTTGGACTAAGGATTTGATTGAAATAATTCAAGGTGACTTTTTTTCACAATGGTTTTGTTGTAGATTTTTGTTTTTAAAAAAATAGTAACGAGATAAGAGAACTAATTAATTTAACCCTTTAATATTTGCCCTTGCTTCAAAAAAAAAAAAAAGGAACTAATTTTCCCCAATTCCCCAAATTACTTTGATTTTCTTGTTCTTGCATCTTTAATTGTTTTGTTTACTATAAAAATATTTAGGGGTTCATATAAAGTAATACGAATTAATCAAAATATTAAATTATTAAATACATAAGACGAAACCATGAACATAATATGTATTAAATATGGAGTAACAAAGATTTCAAGTAGCATCAAAAATGAGAAACAAGTGGAGTATTTTCCTTATGTACTAAAATATTAAAATATAAATGGATCCATGTTTTTTCAAACAATAACACAAGCAAATAAGAAAACTTTACATTAGAATGTTAGATTAGACTACACTGGAAAAATTCATATTAGACTAAAAACTTACAAATTGCAATTTAAAACACCTTTTATTCAAAGTGATATCTAACACTATTTATAAGAAAAAATAAATAAATAACAAAAAATATTTAAATCTATTTTTTTTTAATGACTTATACTTTCTAGAGAAATGTGTATTTTTGTGTGAAAATTTTCATATAAACCTTTTGTTCTAAGAAAAAATTAGTCTAAAGTAGTATTGTTTGTGTGTGAAACATTTGAAAACATTATGTACTTTAGTCTAAATTTTTTTAGAATTATTTAAGTCCATGAATTTATCTAAAGTTTCATTATCTATAATTAATTGAAGTCCTTTTCTGATAATATTGGTACTATGGTTCCTTTGTTTGATTTTATTTTTCATGTTAAACGTGCAAGCAATTTTGTCGTCCACTTAGTTGCTAGTCTGCATGAATTCTTTTCCGCAAATGCGGACCTTGATTGGCAATTAATTTCCTATATTTTTTTGAAGTTAATTGAACTTATTTTGGTTGAAATAAGCTAAAACAAGCAAGTTCAACCAAATAGGCCCTTGATCATACATACATCAAACTTCCCTTGTATTTTTAAAATACAACATTTTTTTTGACACGTTTTTTAAGGAGATGATTAGAGTAAACAAACGAGCATGCAACTTTATCAAAATAATTTGAACACTAAGATTACATTAGGGTTAGGTACTACATGCATAAATTTTATTTTGAATAATTTATCCGTATCCATTATTTAATCTCTTTTTCAAAGTGTGTTCCAAAAATGTGTTGTATTTAAAAGAAAATAGATGAAATATATTTATAAAATATTCTGTAGTAATTATAGCAATTACTCCAATTAGTACTCCGTATGAGTATAAGGACTATGAGAGGTCATTAAACTATTAGACTCCACTCCTATTATGTTTCCATTAAGGGCATGTTCTCATTAGTTGAAATTGAGTTCAGTTCAATTCAGCTCTTAATTTCCTTCTCTTATAAAATATTCATTTCAGTTCAGTACAGTTCAGCTCAGTTCAGTTCAGCTGAGTTTAGTCAATGAGAACATGCCCTAATTTATCTCAAAATCTTGCTATTTTTTTCCTTAAAGAAACCATACAAATTGAATCTATTCAAATTTAGGTCAGACCATTATTTTCCTAATTTCATTTTATTAATTTGTATTGCTGTAATAATATAAAAATTATGTATTTATAAAATACACTTTAAGACAACTTTAATAAAATTGATTTACTTGATAATATGTATTTATAAATCTTGTATTAACATAAAAAAAAGGTCAAAGTCTAATTAAACTATGAGAGCTGACAAAACTTGACTAAGCGTAGAAATGTTTACGCTTCGCATTAGATTAGATTAAAAATTGCATACTATAACACCTTAATTCTAGTGAAGATAACGTAGTATCGAACTCTCAATTGTTCGTTAGTACATCATTTTGTTGACATGAAATCCCACTTGTCTGTCTATAAATTCGTTATTATTTGAATTTAATAAATCAAAATTAACGTAAAACTTTTTTTTTCCCAATTTGAACACATCCCCCGCACAAAAAGAAGTGTTTAATAAGTTTAATTTGAATCTAAATTATAGAAATCCGTGATAGTTTTGTACTCTTAACCTAATTACAATAAGATGTATGAGTTTTAAAAACGAATAATAAAAAGTCAAAAGATAAGGCTCCATTCACTTTATCTTATGTTTGCTGAATTGAAATTATTTTTACTGGACTGAAATTATTTTTGTTGAGCTTAAATTATTTTTACCAAACTAAAATTAAATTTACTGAACTGAAATTATTTTTGCTGAACTGAAATTATCTTTAATTGATTTTTTTTATTATGTATCTTCTTTATCTTTAATTGATTTTTTTTTATTATGTATCTGATGAATATTGTTTAATTAATCATCAAATGAAAATAAAAAAACTAAAAGCTTGATTGATATTGTTTTTTATTTTTAGTTTTTTTTTTGACATTTTGGAAAAAAAAAGCACAACAATTGTGTCTCCTTTTCTGCTAGTTTTCAAGATTATCACGATATTTGACCAACTTTTGATTCACTATACGACATACTTCATAATTTTGAAAAAAAAAACAAAAAAAAAGAAAATAATAGTGTTACTAAACATACCCTAACTTTGAATTAATTGGGTGTATCATGCTGCTAGGTGTATACAAAAAATATCAAAAGCTTCAAATTTATGAGGAATTACCAATGAACACAAAAGATTCTGTAAGAGAATAGATTCAAAGAGCGAGTTGGCGGGGCCACCGCGGGGCAAGTTATAAAAAATCAAGACGTCAACGGAGGCGGAGACACTAGTAATCCCCATTCTCCCGTGACTGAGAGCCACACAGTGTAAAATAACGTTGGTTCACTCCATCCCCACAAATTTTAAAACTGGAACCCAATTAATACACGTCGTCCAACCACAATCCCAAAACCCACCTTCCAAACACAACTATTGGTTCCCAATTACCAAACGTCTCGTCAATAACCCCCCTTTCCTTTCGCTTTCAATTACCCCATATTCAGTCTCTGGTTTACAAAACCCCCCCTTAAATATCTCTCTTTCTTCTAAATTCTCCACTATTTTTATCAAAAAATCAAATTAAAATAATGCGTTGCACCGAGTTGACTCAGTAGCAGGTTTCCGCCATTACTGATTCAACTCGGTTATGGAAGCTTTTTGCTACCATGTCTGTAATGGCTCCTCTGCTCTCGCACTCGAGAAGCTTCGCATTTCGACGTCGACTTCCTCCGCCGTCAGAACGCGGTTTGTCGGAAGTTCGGCGGCGGCGCTTCGTTTTCCGAGTGTTGTGTTCTCGAATTCCAGAATGATCACCGGAAACGGCGGCGATGTTGACGGAAAAACGAAGATTGCTGCTCCGAAGAGGAGGAGAAGCAGGAATCAACGGAAAACTCCGCCGGCGCTGGCGGAGACGTCGCTGCCGGAGCCGAGGAATTTGATTGCGAACAAGGCGCTGTATCACAATGGAGATCCGTTAGGAAGACGAGATCTAGGGAAGCTGGTGGTGCGGTGGTTGCGGCAAGGGATGAGTGCGATGGCGGCGGAGTTTGCGGCGGCGGAAGTGCGAGGGGATTTCTCGGAGTTGGAGCAGCGAATGGGACCGGGTGTGACGTTTTTGATTGAGGCGCAACCGTATATTACTGCAATTCCTATGCCAGTTGGTCTTGAAGCTGTTTGTTTGAAGGCTTGTGCTCATTATCCTACTTTGCTTGATCATTTTCAGCGTGAGCTTAGGGATGTTCTTCAGAAGTTGGAACGCGAGGCGGTTGTGCCAGATTGGAAGGAGACACGGTCGTGGAAGTTGCTTAAGCAATTGTTTAATTCAGGTCCATTTTTATGCCTTTGTATTATGAATTGGTTGTTTGATTGCTGTTTTTAGGGTTGTTAGTTGTCTAAGATTGTGATTACTTGATGAATGTTAGGGTTTTGTTGGTAGTGTCGTAAAATCGAGCCTGATACTTTTGTAGGGTTTTAGGATTTGCTAACTGTCATATTAGAATGATGATAATGAAGGATAAATGAAGTTCACTACAACTAAGCATGTTGTGTGTTGCTTGGGTTCATAAATGGATTGTGAATTTGATTGTAAAAAGCCGGTGTGATTTGTTCTGTTTAAACTTTATAATCATGCTGTGCACAGTTGGACTGTTTGTTAAATTTACTGCTTCGATGATCAGTTTGATAGCTTATTGGTCCTAATATGCCTCCTGCTGATTGTTTTAAATCTGATCATATGAATGTAACAGCGCAGCACAAAGCTATAGCTAGGAAGGTCACTCAGCCAAAGCCTGCCCGTGGTGCTTTGGGGCTTGACATTAACAAGGTCAGGAAGATGCAGGCTACCATTGATCAATTTACCAATCATATGGCAAATTTGCTTCGTATAGAAAGGGATTCAGAGTTGGAATTTACTCAAGAAGAGTTAAATGCTGTGCCTACACCTGACGAAAATTCTGATTTCTCCAAGCCAATTGAATTTTTGGTCAGCCATGGGCAATCACAACAAGAGCTTTGTGATACGCTTTGTAACTTAACTGCAGTTAGCACTTCAACTGGTATCTCAGCTTGTGACATGAACTTACATAAAGTAGTCAATTCCGTTGTTACTTTGACTCAGCATCTCTCTTATACCTGCAGGATTAGGTGGAATGAATTTGGTTGTGTTTAGAGTGGAGGGTAATCACCAGCTGCCACCCACTACTCTCTCTCCAGGTGATATGGTTTGTGTGAGAACATGTGATAGCAGAGGTGCTGGTGCAACTTCATGCATGCAGGGTTTTATTGATAATCTTGGGGAGGATGGCTGCAGTATTAGTGTTGCTCTGGAGTCTCGACGTGGTGATGCTACTTTTTCAAAGCTCTTTGGAAAGCTTGTGCGAATTGATCGCATTCCTGGATTGGCTGACACACGAACATATGAGGTAATTGGAAATGATGAACTGGCTCTGTTTCTGGTAAACATTGGAAAGATAGATATAAGTTACACTGTAAGTGAGTATGTGCGTGCATGCATTACATAAGCGACACACATCTCTGTGGTCCTTAAAGGTCATCGCCTTAATATGTGTTCTAGTTACTAGTTGCTATAGCACGTTGCAGTTAAATTTCTTCCTTAATATTTGTAATTGATAGATATTTTTACTGAAGTACTTGCATCAGTTGCATACCTGCATCTGCATTAATGTGTTTCCTTGCAGTGCTAATATATCTTTGAATTGTTAGTTTCTTTTGATGGACATTAGTGCTGTTTCTTTGCAATTCTCTTCCTATAATTTTTCATATGAATTGTTAGATTCCTTTGTTTTGATGAGATGTGAACCTTGTACAAATATCAATATAGATTTAGCATGAAAAATTGGTTAGATTAACCTATGTGAAGTGCTTGCATTTTGTAAAAATGTTAAGAGATTTACCAGGTGTGCTTGCATTATCTTATCTTGGCTCACTTAGAAAGTTTCTTGAATTTGATTTACTCTTGATTAACTATTGTCTCTTCATGTATTCTCTAGCGTAACTGTGAGGCGCTGATGCTACTGCAAAAGAATGGTTTGCAGAAGAAAAATCCATCAATTGCAGTCGTGGCTTCTCTGTTTGGTGATAAAGAAGATGTTGATTGGCTGGAGGACAGTCATGTGGTAGACTGGAAAGGAGTAGAAGAGGACAGTCTGGTGGACAGTAGCAGTTTTGACGATTCTCAGCGTCATGCAATGGCCTTGGGTTTGAATAAAAAACGGCCTATGTTAGTTATCCAAGGGCCACCTGGTTCCGGAAAATCAAGGTTGTTAAAACAACTCATTGTTCTGTCTGTTGAACGCGGTGAAAAAGTGCTTGTTACAGCCCCAACAAATGCAGCTATTGATAACATGGTTGAGAAACTTTCTGATACTGGAATAAATATTGTGCGAATGGGAAATCCAGCCCGAATATCTGCCACTGTTGCTTCAAAATCATTAGGTGAGATTGTCAATTCCAAAATTGGGGATTTCAGGACAGAAACAGAAAGGAAAAGATCAGATTTAAGAAAAGACCTGAGACTTTGTCTAAAGGATGATTCATTAGCTGCTGGCATACGTCAGCTTATAAAGCAACTTGCTAAGACATTAAAGAAGAAGGAAAAGGAAATTGTGAAAGACACATTGTCAGCTGCCCAAGTTGTTCTTGCCACTAATATTGGAGCTGCGGATCCACAGATCCGAGGGTTGGGGCCCTTCGATTTAGTTATCATTGATGAAGCAGGGCAAGCAATTGAACCCTCATGCTGGATCCCAATTCTGCAGGGAAGGCGCTGTGTGCTTGCAGGTGATCATTGCCAGCTTGCTCCAGTGGTTTTATCTAGGAATGCACTGGAAGGAGGTTTGGGAATCTCTCTTCTAGAGAGAGCAGCAAATTTGCATGGAGGAATGCTCATTGCAAAGTTGACAACTCAGTACCGGATGAATGATATCATAGCTAGCTGGGCTTCCAAGGAAATGTATGGTGGGTTGTTGAAGTCTGCTGCAGAAGTCTCATCTCATCTCCTTATAGATTCTCCTTTCGTCAAGGTAACCTTGATTAGTATCTATTAATATTTAAAAGTAGCTGTTTGACTTTGCTTTTTATTTTTTAATCGTTTATTTTTCACTTTCAACTATTTAGTAATAATGGGCTTTTCCCCTTTTCTTGCATGTCCTGAGACCATTGACCGTACTTTTTTTCTCTCTTGCTTTCTGGATAGCAATCATGAGAAATTTTCATACATTCATATATAATTTAGTTTTTTTTTTTTTTTTTTTTTTTTTTTTTTTTTTTTTTTTTTTTTTTTTTTTTTTTCCTAATCAAGCATCGGAACTTTAGGTTTTGACTTTTTTTTTTTTTTTTTTTTGGTTAACTTACAACTTCAGATACTTGATTACATTTCAGTATTCTGGGTACTAAGCCAACCTGCATCTTATTTCTATTTTTCTGTAGTTGGAAAATTAACATTCCGGACTTGAAGCCTTACGTTATCCCAATCCCAGTAAAATTAAGCTAATATAGACCAGTAGTCTAATTTTGCTTCTCTTTGATTTTAATCTATTACTGAGATCAAGTATATCTACTTAGTTATCCTTATCTGGGTGAAATGGAGTTCATATCTAGCCGCTTAGGCTCTGCCACTTTCAACTTATGAATGGGAGCTCCAATCACGTTATATTGCACTATAGCAAATAGCATTGGATTTATGGAGTGATGTTACACTGATTAAAAAGCCATTGGATATCTAGAGTCCCAGATTGCTGAAATAGTAGCTGCAAGCCTGCAAGCATTGCTTTGTAACTACCTAAAGAGTTCTTCCCAGTATTAGCTAGTACCTAATTGACACATATTCAGGACTTACAAAAGCAAATAGAATCCTTGTATAGCCTTGCAGGTGATAGCACTTTTGAAATTAGTATGTCAGTTCCTTATAGTTAAATCTTCAAAACACTTATCAGTCATTCATTACCTATGACTTGAATGGGCTTTTAGTTGGCATCTAATTTGTCTAGCAATAAAGACGTTTAGTATTTTATTTAACTTGGAAGGATCTAGGAGATTAGATTGTGGTGTAATATTTAACAAATTAGAGGTGGAGATTGTTTTAGGAAAACTCTTCTAACTCTATCTCCCCTCCCCATCTGTCTTTGTATTTGGATTAATGAGCCACACTTGCATGCATCAATTACCACAATGTCTTGGTAAAGTTATAGTTTCATCTGTAATAATTAATGTTGTTTTGGTTGAAAAAAATAATGATGCATAAAAGAATTTCACCAAATTGTTAGTCTCTGTTGTATTTGTGTCACTAAAGCCTATGTTTTCCTATTTGCAGCAAACTTGGATAACTCAATGCCCATTGCTATTACTGGATACGAGAATGCGGTATGGTTATTTATCTGTTGGTTGTGAGGAACAAATGGATCCTGCTGGTACTGGTTCTTTCTACAATGAAGGAGAGGCAAATATTGTTATCCAGCATGTCCTTTCATTGGTTTATGCAGGTTTGTTTCTATTTAGAAAACATGCTAATACATTGAAATCTCTTACATGTGCCATTTTTTTGGGGATATCTGAATGCTTTCATAAATTATCAACATAGACATGTAAAATTGAGATTGGCTAACCACAGTACAGTCATCTTACTGTCACTCAAAAACGCTAGGCCCACCTACAAAGAGCATCGGTTGTTTCATGGGGCTTATGTTCTAGGGAAGGTCTCCTCACAGACCATCATCATTTTCTTAGCAGAACTAAGATATGGAAACATTTGGACATCCTGGTTGCCTAATATCAACTAGGCCAACATTGTTTGTTTCACACAGAAATTTAATTCCATAGATATACTGGGAAATGGCCTTGAGATGTTTGGTTGGTACTAGAGTTTGAAATTCCTGGGAATTGATTTCCTAATTTGTGTTTGGTTTAATTGATATCAGCTTTTATATGAAAATATTAGCATATATCAGAATTTGATTAGTGTACACCACTATAACCAATCAAATCAGGAAGAAGCCTAAATAAGATTAACAAAAAGCACAATGATTTCGTCAAAATAAATAAAAATAAAAAAGCACAACGAGCCATTAATTTTTTTAAATGTAGAATTTGGATTTGATTAGGTTTCTCACCTCTTTGTCATATTTAAAAAATAAAAAATAATTCTATTTGAGATGTTTCATCATAGCAGAAGTAGAGAATTGCAGCTTGAAACCCAAGTTGTTTTTGCAGCCTTGTTGGTAAGATGTAGAGAAAAGGAGTCATGTAGACTCATCAATAAGAGGAAGATTGAGGGCAATTGTGTTTCTTTTTTGTTTGAAATCAGAGCAATTTTTTTTATTTGTTGACCCCCAATGCGTGGGAGTTCTGAATGACTTGGGAGGATGGGTAGTGGGTGAGTGAGCTCCCATGTTTATGTGAAAACTTCTTAGGGAATTTTAAATCCCCCAAATTTAGCTATTTTCTGCCTGCCAAACACGAGCTTAATGGAGCATTTCTCAGTATAAACTAGGTAATTCCGTAATTCTGCCATAATCATCATTCATCATACAAATAACATAACTTTCATGGTTGCAAACTATTTAAACAATTTTTAGTTTTAATTACATTGTGATGACTAATGTAAGTTAGGTAATCAGCCTGATTAAAGTAAAGAGAATCCTGATTTCTTAACTGAATTGCTTTATAATTTTAAACAAGTCAGTAGTTTACTGAAGATGTACCTCTGTTATACACTGCACCCAAACTTTTGTAATAAAGACACTCCTTTTCCAGGTATGGAGAAGGGCTATGCAATGCAACTGTCACATTTTTTTTTTGCTTTTTTCATTGATGACGAGCTTCATATAATGAGGAAGTTGATTAAGTATTCTCTATCATGCAGGTGTGAGCCCAAAAGCTATCGCAGTTCAATCTCCTTATGTTGCTCAAGTGCAACTGCTGAGAGAGAAGCTCCATCAGTTTGAGGAGACTAGAGGGGTTGAAGTGGCAACAATTGATAGCTTTCAAGGCCGGGAAGCTGATGCTGTAATCATCTCTATGGTAAGTCTCATCTTAAACATTGTCCCTTCTGCTGTCTACCTAAGATTTTACTGTAAAATTAACAGGAAATTGATAGTTCTGCTTTGGCTGAAGTTTTTGCACTATTTGCAAGTACATGGCAAGTGACACTGAACTTTTCAGGTTCGATCAAACACAATGGGTGCTGTTGGCTTTCTTGGGGATAGTAGGCGCATGAATGTTGCCATAACAAGGGCACGCAAGCATGTTGCCATTGTTTGTGATAGCTCAACTATATGCCATAACACCTTCCTTGCAAGGCTCTTGCGGCATATTCGATATTCTGGAAGGGTCAAGCATGCTGGGTCTGATTATTTAGGAGGTCCTGGACTCGGCTCCAATCCCATGTTGCCATCATTAAGTTGATGCAGCCAGAAGCTTTCTTTATACAACTGATTCCTGAGCTATTGGTTGCTTTCTTCCAATTGTTGATACATACGCCTAGACCTCATTCATGTATAGCATTCAAATTTTTATATTGTATAAAGCATTTTGTAGCGCCGTTGTAAGTGTATATGTGCATAGCAGTCTCAGTCTCACTTGCATACATAATACAAACATTTGCAAAAATATGTTGCAATGAACATCATTAAGTTTACTACTACAAACTTTATGAGAACATAATCTTACAGTATATTTGCATTTTCTCGAGTTCCCTTCATAATTATAAAAGTACTCGGTATGATTTTGTATTATAATTGTTCGGATATAAGCATTGATGAACCTAAACCCTTCTGAATCCCTATCATCACCTTCTTGACCAATTGTTAACAACCTAAATATATAAGCTCTAACAAAAGACATGAACTTTCAACGAAAAACTTGAACATTTGATGAACAAAGTTGATTGCCAAAACAAAGATGATTACTGCTAACATATCAAGTTGATTATATTGCCCAAACTGCCAATTAGTTGAAAGATCAATGCCAACTCAGTTGAAGTTAACAATCCAGTAAATTGGGAAGATTTATCTAATTGGTAACTCGGCTAAACTTGCAAGGTTGCCAAAATGCCAACGTTGAACGAAACCTCAAAATCACAAGTAGAATTTTAACTAAGCTTTTTGTGTTTGGGACACATGTTACATGCCCTTAAACAAAATGACGAATAGTCATCAGTTCATCACCTAAAGCCAATAAACAGATAAATCAACAATAGTAGTCCATTCACCCTATTGATTTGAAACTTTAGCTTAGCTTACAGAGGTTAATATAGTCCGCATTACCGGGCAAGGTTCCTTTAGGAAAAAGGTAAGAGAATCCTCATCCTCAAACCCGTCCCTAGCGGCCTAGCTAAATTGATATACAGACTCAAGATTGATAAATATAGTCCTTACTGATTTTTTACGAAGTAATAGAGCTTCATTTACTTAGGTCAACGCATTGATATGTATAAATTAATATGTATAAATCAATTAATTTATACTATACCATTAATATGTATAAATTATCTTATGATAAAAAATTAATATTTTAGAATTTATATATCCACATGAGTAACTGATTATATTTTGAAGGAAACAGTGATTGTACACTCTTGACGTTTGCATTCTAAATTCGTAATTTTTCGAGGGATAAAAACACCTTAGTTTTTGAATAGATTAAATTCCCATGCATTGCATAAAAAATAGATTAAACTACGTACCAAATTGATTATTTAATTCCCCACTTATGTTGAATCTATATATAACCAAATATTAAATTGCAATGGATATCTATTTCTATAATTAATTAAAGGTCAAATTAAGACATTCATAATAGCATTCAAAGAAAGGGAGCAGATATTGACATGACAATTATTCATTTAATCATTCATTATTGGATATTGTCTGCCTCACTACAGCTAAAAAGTTCTTATAAATAGAGACACTCGATACTTCAAACATGCAACCAACAATAATATTCTAGCTCAAAAACTATAATATACACACGTATATTATACATCTTACTATTACTTTTACACACATTTTTGTTGCAATACTTGCTAGACAATTTTCACATTATGGAAATTAATACAAACTTTGAGCGTAACGCTGATCTAAAGACCTTTGACGAGTCCCAAATGGGTGTGAAAGGCCTTATTGATGCGGGTGTTACACAATTACCTCGAATTTTTGTCAATGACCTACCATCCCCAGACTCAAAAAAAGTCAATGAGGGACTAAAGCTAAACATCCCGGTGATAGATTTCACCGGGTTAGAGGACGCAGGTCCCGAGAGACGAAAGGAGATTATCAAGGAACTATCTGATGTAACTGAAAAGTGGGGGTTCTTTCAAGTCGTGAACCATGGGATCCCCCAACACGTCTTGGAAGAGATGCTCAAAGGCGCTAGGAGGTTTCATGACTTGGATGCCGAGGCCAAAAGGCAGTACTATGTTCGTGGAATCGACACGAAAAAGAAGTTCGTGTTCACGTCCAATTTTTATCTCTACACCGGTCATGTGACTAATTGGAGGGACACCACCGTTGCCACCATGAACCCTATGCCCGATCCTGAAGAGATTTCCGAGGCATGCAGGTATATATAATTTTTAAAATGACTACCACTATACTTAATTTTTATTAACGGATTATTTATTTATTTCTTGTTGATCAAATTTATAATGGCTTTTTAAAAAATTACTAGCTAGATGTAATGTATAATACTATATAAATATAATGCATGTGAAAGGAGTAAAACTTTGTAAACCTCATTACCATATTTTTTCTTTTTAAAAATTCTAATGATTTAAAAAACATAGAAACATTTTTATGTATCATATGATAACATCACTTAATTCAAATTTTATTTGTAAATGCCGTACGACTTTTTATTAATGAATTGATTTGTTTGAAAAAAAAAAAAAACTAACATAATTTTTTTTTTTCAACTTACATAGAGATATAATGATGGAGTATGGCAAAAGTGTGAGGAAGCTAGGACTAACATTCATGGAGCTATTATCCGAGGCCATGGGTCTAAACCCGAACCATTTGGAAGACATGGACTCTGCTGAAGATTATCTGCTCTTAACCCATTATTATCCTCCATGCCCACAACCCGAATCGGCTATAGGCATCAACAAGCACGCTGATAACGACATCCTTACGGTGCTCTTACAAGACGATATTGGTGGACTTCAGGTTCTTCATGATGATATTTGGTATGATGTTCCTCATATTCCTGGTGCCTTGGTTATCAACACTGGAGATCTTCTACAAGTAAGCTAATTTAACTTTTTAATTGTTTTTTGATTAAAGGTATTAATTAGTGTTTAACAAAGTTGGATGAGAACAAGCTAACCTTAAGAGTTTAGGGTAATGTATTGAAAATAATAAGTTAATTTTATTGAAGGTTGACTTTTGCACATATTATGAAGGTTTTTAAATTAATATATATTAATAACTCATACTCGTATTTTCTATATAATTATCTTTATATTATAAGCATTATTCCCTTTTGTTCAAAAAATAAATAAATTATTTTTCCTCATAAATAATAGTATATTTTACTAATAATTGTTCCCGGTAATGGTTTTTCGCCTAGGTGGATACATGGACAATCGATGTAGATAGTTAATTGTCATTAAGATTTTGTCCGAGGAAAACCTTTTTGAGAAAGTAATTTAAAAGTGTTTGGGTTTATTATTTATAACATTCCTTAAACAAGTGCCACTTGCATTGAAAGCCCACATGAGTGTTTTGTCAAGTGAACAGTAAGTGTTCATGTAGTTGAAAGTAGGTTTCCATTATATGATAATCAATTATGGAGTATGTTGAATAACGTCTACTAGCTAACATCTAGCTACGTACTAACAAAAGTAGTAACAAGACTAACAACTAATACTTCGTAATTGAAATCACCAACATTTTTTTTTATTTTTTTTTTTGAAAAACGAGAAATCACTAACATTTAATAATAGGACAATCAATTACTTATTATGTGTTGAATACCGCACATACAAGAAGACAAAGTATTTTTCTTGTTTTGAAACTAGTCTACTTTTTTCCAACATCTCGAAAATTACTTGAATGTACCCTATATTAGGTTCACCCGAATGACGGGTGCACGTGAAAATTTTCATTTTTTCTACCTAATTTTAAAGACAAATAGTTTAAGTATCTACATACCTTTTTAATCACTTTCCTAGCTAAAAATTTTAGTTTAAAAAAATCATATCATATACATAATTTATTTGACAATTATATAAATAAAATTAAGTACTCCATATTAATTATTGATATGATTTTGTATTATGTGCAGCTGATCAGCAACGACAAGTACAAGAGCGTAATCCACAGGGTGCAATCAAAGAAAATTGGCCCTAGAATTTCAGTGGCATGTTTCTTTAGGCCTAGCTTGAAGAACCCTAGATTACTTGCACCAATTAAGGAATTATTATCCGATGAAAACCCTCCAATTTATAGAGAAACTACTGCCGGTGAATATCTTGCTCATTACTATAAAACTGGCCAAGATTATGGTGTTCAACCCGCACTCGAAAATTTCAAGCTTAACAAATAAATTTATATAAATAATTAAATACGTATGCATGAAATAATCCAAAATTCGAATATGTAATCTATGTTTTTATACGTACAATTTGTTCATCTCATCATTTATATTATATTGCTAATGGCTAATGCTAGTTTGTACCGATCTAGAGATCACTAGATCATTGCTCATAACTTTTATGCCATTTTTCTTTTAATTATTTCAATTTCGATCAAATAAGTGTTGTAAAAGCAAGTTTCATACGGAGTATATCAATACATAATAATAAAATTGTTATTAACAACATATTATTATTGTTTTTTTTTTTTTTAAAATCTTGCTTAAATTTTTTGTTTAATTTTGCAACCACTTCTACTAGTGTTCCTTCATTATTTAATAACTACAACAATTTTGACCACAATTTATTTTTCTCAAGATGTAAAAAACAAATAAATATTGTTAGATAAGTTTAAGTGTATATATATTTTTTTATTTATAATATAATAAAATATATTAGTGGTCAATTTTATGTGTTGTAATAGACAAGTTGCAATTTTTTAGTTTACATACAAAAAATATTAGTTTTTGATGCAATACTATACTTTTGTGTCCAGAATTAGTCTATAACATTTAATAAGTGTAATTGGTATTATAACGACTAAATTTGGACAAAGGCGATTTATTTAAACCTATTATAAATTTCCCCTCAATGTCAATAGATCACATTGAGCTGAAAACAGATCACAATAATGTCGTATTTATTTGTTATTGTTTATTCATGTATTGAATAACAACCAAAGATGACTTTGTTGAATGATTTTGTCAGCGATTATATATGAATAGAAGTTGAAGAACACCATTGCATTATAATATACTATTCCACTATTATACTAAAACAAGCCATGCAGCTATCATTGATAAAAACATGTCAACTTCTCATGAAAATTTTCCTGCCTATACTATTTATAACATCATAATTCTTTTTTCACTATTTTTTCGTCCCAAAATTCCAAAACTAAATAAATACTTTTTTCAAAAAATAAAATAAAATTAATGAAAACAAATTATAAGACTTTTTTATTTGTCAAGTACATACAAATATACAATTAATTATATATACATCCGGTGTATCGGATATTTGTTTAGGAAGACTGAGAATTAAAGAATGAAATATATAGGGATAGGAAATTAGAGGGTGAAATTCGATCTATGAGTAAATATAAATTCTGTTAAATTTTGGCCCTAAATTAGGGAAAACGGCATGTATATCCGCAATCCTTATTTATCTTAACAAATGCCCTATAGGCCTATGTGTGTCTTAACTCTTAAGGTACAATTAATAATATATGCCAATTTGTTAAATATAGAAGAGAAATATATAGAGAGAGAGAAATATATTGTTCGTTGTTATATTCTGCCATCCAGTACGGGATATATATACATGAATAATATCTAGAGTTCCATCAACGGATAAGATCAAATACCCAACTCTAGAGTATTCTAGATGGTACATGGGATAATAGTCATCCACATTTAGATATTTCATAACACTCCCCCTTGGATGACTATATATTAAATAAAACAATAACTAACATTTACAAAAAAAAACCATACAAAATAATACACTATAATGCGCATAAGATGCTGCCTCGTTAAAAACCTTACCAGGAAAACCCAGTGGGAAAAAATCATGGTTAAGGGAAAAAGAGTGCAGCGCGCATTAACTCCCCCTCATGAATACATCACTTGAGGTCTTTAAGATGACGCAATCCAATGCCATAAGCTAACATTTTGAATGTGGCTGTTGGGAGCGCTTTAGTAAACAATTCTGCCAAGTTTTCACTTGAGCGGATCTTAAGGACTTTTATATCACCATTTTTCTGGAGATCATGAGTGTAGAAGAATTTTGGTAAAATGTGCTTCGTTCTATCACCTTTGATATACCCTTCCTTAAGCTGCGCGATGCATGCTGCATTATCCTCATATAAAATTGTTGGAACTTCTTTCTCGGAGTTTATGCCACAATATGTCTGAATATGTTGAATTACAGACCTTAACCATACACATTCTCTACTAGCCTCATGGATTGCCAAAATTTCTGCATGGTTAGAAGAAGTAGCTGCAATTGATTGTTTCATAGAACGCCAAGAAATAGAAGTACCTCCACACATAAATACATATCCAGTTTGTGATCTAGCATTATGAGGATCAGACATGTACCCTGCATCTGCAAAACCAATCAAACCTTCTTTGGATATATTAGAGAAAAACAAACCCATATCTTTCATACCTTGAAGGTAACGAAGTACATGCTTAACCCCATTCCAATGCCTTCGGGTAGGGCATGAGCTAAATCTTGCCAACAAATTTACTGAAAATGATATGTCAGGTCGTGTATGACTAGCAAGATACATTAATGCCCCTATTGCACTTAAATATGGTACTTCAGGACCAAGAATTTCTTCGTCATTCTCCCGGGGTCGGAAGGGATCTTTTTCTACATCAAGTGCTCTAACAGCCATAGGGCTACTCAATGGATATGATGTATCCATAGAAAATCTTTTAAGAACCTTTTCTATGTATGTTGACTGGTGCACAAGGATTCCATTCTTCAGGTGTTCAATTTGTAACCCTAGGCAAAACTTAGTTTTTCCAAGATCTTTCATTTCAAATTCTTTCTTTAAGCACTCTACTGTTATTGAAATATCTTCAGGAGTTCCAATAATATTCAAATCATCAACATATACTGCAATTATGACATATCTTGAAACAAATCTCTTTATAAAAATACATGGGCATATAGGGTCATTCTTATACCCTTCCTTCAACAAGTACTCACTTAGTCGATTATACCACATGGCCCTGATTGTTTCAATCCATATAGAGACCTATTCAACTTTATTGAGTATTGTTCTCGAGAACCTAAATTTGCTGCTTCTGGCAGTTTAAATCCTTCTGGGAGTTTCATGTAAATGTCATTATTCAGTGGGCCATATAAGTAAGTTGTGACTACAACCATCAAGCGTAAATCAAGTCCTTCTCTTATTGCCAGACTAATTAGAAATCTAAAATTAGTTGCATCCACCACAGGAGAGTATGTCTCCTCATAATCAATACCGGGTCTTTGTGAGAATCCTTGTGCAACTAATCGGGCCTTATATCTTACAATTATACCATTTTCATTTCTTTTTCGTACAAAGATCCATTTATATCCCACTGGTATTACACCTTCAGGTGTACGGACTACAGGTCCGAATACTCCTCTTTTTTCGAGAGATTTCAATTTAGTTTCAATTGTTTCTTTCCATTTTGGCCAATCGCTTCTTTGTCTACATTCATCAATGGATTTTGGCTCATGATCCTCATCATCATTCATGACATCTAATGCTACATTGCATGCAAAAACATCATCGACGTCGATTTTGTTTCGGTTCCATGTAATTCCAGACATGATAAAATTTGTTGAAATTTCTTCATTGTCAGGTACCTGAATATCCTTTTCCATCATGTCTAAAGTCTCTTCTGGAGATCCTTTAAAATTAATAGCTTCCTCAGTCTGGCCATTGTCAATTGTTGCTCCTTTTCTCTTCCGAGGATTTTTATCTTTGGAACCGATGGGTCTACCACGCTTCAGGCGTGATTTAGAATCATTTGCAACTTGGGCTTGTCCTTCTGGGACATCAATTTTAATAGGAGCATTTTCAGCTGGTATATGTGACTTTGTCACTTTCTTTGGGTCAGTAAATGAGTTTGGCTATTGATTTGCTAAGTTCTGTAAATGAATTATCTTTTGGACTTCCAACTCACATTGTTTAGTACGAGGATCTAGATGAGCTAATGATAATTCATTCCAACTAATTTCCTTTTCCAGCTGTTTGTTTTCTCCCCCTAATGTTGGAAAAACTAATTCATCAAAATGGCAGTCTGCATAACGAGCCGTAAATAAATCTCCTGTAGTTGGCTCTAAGTACTTAATTATCGATGGAGATTCATATCCAACATATATCCCTAGTCTTCTTTGAGGGCCCATTTTAGTGCGTTGTGGTGGAGCAATTGGAACATATACTGCACTTCCAAATATTCTTAAATGGGATATATTTGGTTCCTGACCAAAAACCAATTGTGATGGGGAGAACTTATGATGACTTGTCGGCCTGATGCGAATTAGTGCTGCTGCATGTAATATAGCATGCCCCCAAGCATAAATTGGGAGCTTAGATTTCATAAGTAATGGTCTAGCAATCAATTGCAGACGTTTAATTAATGATTCCGCAAGACCATTTTGTGTGTGAACATGTGCTACAGGATGTTCAACACTGATCCCAATTAACATGCAATATTCATCAAATGCATGGGATGTGAATTCACCAGCGTTATCAAGACGAATAGCCTTAATAGGAAAATCTGGAAAATGTGCTCGTAATCTGATCAACTGAGCAAGTAGTCTCGCAAACGCCAGGTTGCGAGTTGATAACAATGATATGTGTGACCATCTAGTTGATGCGTCTATTAAAACCATGAAATATCTAAATGGCCCACACGGGGGATGAATTGGTGATATGTCCATTTTATACAGTGTTTTACCCCCGTCCCTTGGTCGTTATTAGTAGTGTTTTTGGCTCTTTCGGGCCACATTTATTACTAATTTGTGTGTTCTAGTGTTTTCGTAGTTTTAGTTATATTTTACAGGAAATTGCACTCTCGGAGCATTTTCCCGGGCTTTATGGACCAACTACGGAAGCTAGAAGGACACGACCACTTTAGGAGCCCAGGATCGGTGAGAGCCGGTGATTAAGGGCTCGGTAATCGGGATCTCGAGGCATTTGGACCGAGTGATCGAGACCCTAAGTGGACATCCGGATTGGGCCGAAGAAATAAGCCCAATCGAAGGTCCAAGCCTCGAGGTGAAGCAAGGGCCCGATCGGGCAAGCTTAGCTCGATCGGGCAAGGCGCGCAAGAATATGCTGGTGCGTCGCCAAAGGCGCGCCCGATCGGGTGAGCTGCTAGCTCAATCGGGCGCGGCTGCTGAGAAGAGCAGTGCGAGAAAAAGGCGCGCCCAATCGGGCGGCCTCTAGCTCGATCGGGCGCGTGTTTCCTGAAGAGCTCTTTTGTCGAGCAATTAGTTTCTAATTAGGAAGTTGTTTTAGTTTTGTTTAAGTGCGCTGGAGGACGATTAATTTCACTTATCTTCTTCCTTAGACTTTCTCTCTCTACTTAGGATCTTTTCTCTCTCTTAACTCTTCTCTCAACTCTTGTTCTTGATTATTTCCATTAATACAGATTAGTTTGGTAACGAT